GCATATAAAAATAGCCAGGTGGAATTGCCAGGTGAAGAAATTTCTTATGCTGCTTTTTTATCCTACATATAAACCTGTACATCAAAGAGGGACGAAAGATACCAGAGGGACAGTCAAACTCATAGATCGAAAAACAAACTGACAACACCATGGCCAAAAATAAAAAGACAAACAGACAAATAATAGTACAGATGACACAACATAGAAAACTAAAGACTAAGCAACACGAACCCCACCAAAAACTGGGGGTGATCTCAGGTGCTACGGAAGGGTAAGCAGATCCTGCTCCACATGTGGCACCCATCGTGTTGCTTATTTTATTACAAATCCGGTAAATAGTCTAATTCGGTAGGTCACATTCATGAAAAGGGAAGGGTATTGTAGTTAGGACGTAAGGAACATATCCGATCTAGGATACCCTTGGACCAGAGAAAACTGGAGTGATCTGATAAGATATGTATTTGCATTAAGGAGGTAAACATTACAGAGTTCTCTAAAAGTTGTGGTCCACAGGTTTTGTTCACTAAAATTTTGCAAAGGACAGACACAATTTTGGGTATTTATGCAATAAAAATAATAGTGTGGACCAGCAGATTTTCTTCAAGGACCAGCACAGGAAAAAAAAAAGATTTTGATAACTCTTAGTCTTTTTAACAGGTTTGAGTGCAAATAAACCAATTTTAAAATGGACACTTGTGTAGAATTAAGTATATATAAATGTATATAAAAATATTAGTTGTAAATTTATCTGATAAATTAATGCTATCAAACTTTTCTGTTACCATCTTAGAGAGATGTACATAAATATTAATCTACTAGCACAAGCTCTGATTGATAAGTAGATGACTGGGTTCCTGCTTAAGTGTAGATCCATCTTTGCACACACTATCATTACCTATAGCTACTTAAGCTCCATTATCAAATCAAATATCTAGAGAATAAAGCATAACAAAGAACTCATTTGTCCCGTACTAACTGTTACAAGGGACAAATTGTCCATTAACCTCCCAAATTATAAACCCTAATTATAGTGACAATGTTCAAATATTGGTTCTCGGCACTTTGCCGATCCTACGTAATCTCTGTGGTCCTAATTAAGCAATTTTTTTCCATCTGATTGCTATCTGATAATATTAATTGGCTAATTATTGTAAATAATAAGACCAGAGATTCCATTACTGCCTGTAAATACCAGTATAATATCTGATCATTATTGATGTTAGGGCTATTTCTATATACCATAAATACATGAAATAATGGTTAAATGATTGCTCTTGGATAAAATAATTTACCTGAAATATGTTCAATTCTTTTATGCAAACTAATCTTGAGTGGGTTTGTATCATTTAACAATTGGTTCTGGTAACCTATTAAAATCTATCTTTTTTTTTAAGATATTGGTTTATCATTCAGAGAACTTTATAAAGCATTGATGAATTCAGAATCTTCAAAAAAAAAATACTGACCACAAAAATGTTGTAATTGAGACTTGGCACATCAAAAAAACTAATTGTGACCAATATGGGCACCCTGGCCATGCTGCCCAAATCCCCTCCTAGTGATCTACATGTATCTTTACTTATTCAGCTATTTCTAAATGCTTTTGGTTCAACTACTCTGACACACATATGCTATTTATTTTGCCTGCTTTGCATTATTTGTTTTATATGTGGTTATCATGAAGTAAGTTCTTTCATAATATAAGTTCCAAACAGAAGGAATAGTCTGTAATATTATTTCCACTGGAACAAATATTACAGAATTTGTTCCTTATGGAATAAAGGGTATAGAATATTTTTGTTCAAAAAGGAACAGACATCATGGCATTGTTTATAACAAAGTTTCCAAGGGAACTTCTGTATAAGGCGGAGCAAATATATGTTTATAATGCCCAGTGTTATAAATAATAAAATACAATAGACCAATCATTACCCTATCAATATTAATTTTTTGTAAATTATGTCTGGATTAATATAAAACAAAATAAAATTAAATAAGCAAATTTATATCATGGTAAAAATAGATAATTTCTTTACAGTCATAGGTTCTTTGGTTTTGCCCAATGGAGAGTCAGTGGTTCAAAAACCATTATTATATGATTATTCACTTTCGTATACATCAACTTTGGTCTTTGGCTACTTACGTCTTCATATCTTTGTGTAGTAGAACAATGAACAGATCTTGGTCCAAAACAATCAAATCCAATTAATGATGATTTGTGCAAAAAATCTTTGGTATATAGATCGACAGTGCTTTCACATTCATTGAATTTCCCATACATTTCTGATGACACAATGTATATGTTATTACATCACATACTTGGTTAGTATGATTAGGATTATAATGCATAACATATCTATTTTGTTATCAATTAATTTTTTTTATTTTCATTAACCACAAAATTTACAAAAATAAAAATGGTACCCATGACTTCACACTTGTGTACATTGTTTTTGCTAGTAAAAGTCTGAAATTTTATACACAATTTAGTTATTTATCAAAGAATGGCAAAATTGCTTAAAGTTTTGCAATACAAATTTTTGATTCAGATATACACTGTAGGAAGCTCAATTATGTAAGAACTACATCAATTTTTATAAGATAGACTATATTCACATTGACAGATATTATTGTGAACAATCTAAGTGCTTCTTGCAATAGGTGCTCTAAATTTTTAGATTCACAAATTTGTTTGATAAACTGAAAAAATTGTGCATTTTCAAGGAAAGTGACTTTTTGTTACACCATGACTCTAGAAGTATTTTTTTTTTTAGTACTACTACAACTCTAAATAAGGCATATATATTAAGAGAAATCTTAAAATCAAAAGTACATTTCTGTTGTGTAAATAAATCAAGTTTTAAAACTTTAGAGAAAGATTATTGTTACTCAAAAAACGTTTTTTTTATTAACTTATAAAAATAAGAAAATGTAATATGATTGCCAATTCAAACGTGAAAATTAACAGCCTGATTTTTGAACAAAACAATAAACGAAAAAGAAAAAAAATGTCAGATATACAGCTACAAACCACAACCACTGAACTACATGCTCCTCATAGACTTTGGACAGGCACATACAGAATGTGGCAGGGTTAAACATGTTTGCATTGTATAAATGCTGCTTTTAATTTCTCCAATGTTTAAATGAAAAGTAGTTTATTTTTATCACAAATTCCCATTAAAACAATTCAACTTTAACAGATAAGAATTACAGTAATTACCTCTTTTGAAAGTCTTACAGTAACAGTAAGAATGTTAATTAATTGACATTATTTGGTAGTTTTTGAAATTATAAGGTCAAGATGTCAACTTGTAATGTAATTCTATTTAGGCTTTGATTATGACATGCATTTTTTTTAAATAAATTAAAAATCTAATTTCTAAGGATAAATCTCACAATAAATTCATCTACCAAAGTGTCTCAAAGGGTGTGAAGATAATACATCTGAACAGAACATCATCTTTTGTTATTCTACTTCCAGAATCTGATTATTATTGATCAAATGTCAATTTCAGCCTTAGATTTGAAATTAGACACTTATGCCAAAGATATCTACTAACTATAAAAGGTAATTTGACTTCAGTTGCTAATGCTAAGGTCACCAACTAGAGACTAAATTTTCTGTTTCATTGGGAAAGTTTCCTCTTAAAAAATACTGTTATCACATTAAAGCATACATATCTATCTGATTGACATGAATACCATTTATGTGCATATAAATTTAAAAAAAAAACTTTTTAAAAGTTTTATTCTACGGTCCAAGAAACATACGTTGTCTTCAATTTCAGCACATTTCCCTCTGTATACATTGTAAAATGAAAACATTGATACTGAACTTTAAATAAAAGCAAGATTGTTCTACATATGTTCATTGACTTCATTCCCCATAAAATCTCAGCTCTCAAGTTCCCCTCCCCTAATAAAAAAATTATCACCACTATAAAACAATCAACAACAAATTAGTTAGTGAATATGTGCTCACCAAATAACAAAGTATGTTTTTTAAATTGTCCGTATATATTGAAACAGGGATGACAATATAGATGACATGACAAAAGTAATAGAAAATATACAATACAAAAATAAGGAGATGGCAACTTTCCACCAGTAACCAAACTGCAAGGATTTAAACAGCTATAGGGCACTGTACAGCTTACACCTTTGCCTTAATTTTGTTACATTCATAACAATTGAAGGGAGAAATTAACACTTTCTTGCCCTACCTATTGAATATTCTAGATCTGCAACTGAGGTGACAGACTCTGAGAAGTTTAAGTAATTATAAAATATATAATAATGTTATATTGATTACAAACTTGATCCCATGACAATTAAAAATCATTTTCTGTGAATTAAATAACAGGCTTGCAATCAATTTTTACTAGGGGACTTAGCCTACAAAATAATAACTTTGGCATCAGGTAATATTATATAACGTAAAAAAAATCATTGTATTATCACATAAACCTATCGATCAATAACACTTATAAAAGTTATTTAAAATCTGTATAATGGATCTGTATTCTACAAAAGCATGTGTTTTTTCTTTTCTTTTCTTAATCAATTTGCAAACATAAAGCTAAGTCAGTATCTGTTTTATCTTTTATACATATCTTATTACTTCGTTGATTGACTTTAATTATTTTATTAGTTCAAGAGTTAAATACATTTTTAAAATTTTTATATTTATGTTTAGAAAACATCTTCAGAAAATAACTTTTTGGTGTATTTTTATCACACCCAAGGCACATTTCCAAAAGTAATATTCATTAATAGTTGCATTCTGTTGCCAATTATTTTCTCCTACTGTACCTTCAGTAATTAATTCCATCATGAAAAAGTTGTCAATTACATTTTAATGACTAAACATGCACAGGAAATTGATCACCAATACATAAACTATCAATTACAAGATCAAGTGATTATCCAATTAGATTTGTAAAGATAATGTAACCACAGGTGTTTGATTACACAAGATAATATTGGAATTTTCCTACCTTGCTTTCATCAGTAACATCTTCTAGTTTGTGTCATTGAAGATGTTCTATCCATAAGGCAAGTTGCTGTAACAAATGGACTGTTCCATTGTGGCATCAGAGGGGTGGTCAGGTCAATACATTGATTATCTGATTATTATTTTAATCACACTGCTCAAGTATTGTCAGTTGTTATGTATATATGGATAATTGTTTTTTATATCAATTTCTGTAAAATATGAATTATTGGTATTAATAATTGATGCTAAAAATGAATATAATATGATTAATCTATAAATATCTGGTAATTCACAGAAAAACGTCATACGAATATTTACTGATTACATATATTGAAAAATGTCACCTGCTCTGAACAAATTATCATGTAATTTTGTATTTTAAACTAGATCATGATAATGAATGACAAATATTATGACAATATTAATCAAATTTAATTCATCTATTTTGAAAATAAATAAAACAGGTCTTTTTATAAACCTATAAATCTAATTGCTCATTCACGAAGTAAGTTGAGAATAATTACATCTAGTAATTATAAGCATGCATTAGGTTAGGTTTTTTTTATATCATCATTGTAATCATCATCTGAAGACTTTTGCCTATAGGGAGTTTTCCGCCTGCCTGGTGAGGTCCTTGCCATCTGACGTTTCATTTAATTAGGACCTGTGACCTTTTAAAATGTTCAAAACCGAGATTAAAATTAGTTTAAAACTGTACATGAACAGTTTGTTAAAAAGTGATCTGGTGACCCGAGACCATTTCAAAATTTGATACTTGGACCTAAGGGGGTACCCTACTGGAGCCACATTACATGTATAGTGTGTTTGGAGTCCAAACTTTGGACAAATTCAAATTACTGTCACCATGTATAACTAGTTTTAATCCAGAAGAAAGTGTAAACTATTGGGTCAATTCAAGTTCAAGAACAAGACGACCAAACCTAAAAGACAACCCCAGCACTAGTGCTGCTGCATGTAATGTAATAATTGATGTTGATCTTGTCCAGCAGCCTTCTACTAGCTCTCAGTCTGAAACTGTGCAATCTGAAAGTGGCAGTGCTACAGCAGCAGCAGCAAATAATGATATTCCATATTATACTTCAACTTGTGACACAGACAGAGGGAAGTGAACAGAGAACAGGATATAACTAATATGTTAGATAAGATGGAAGATCTTAAGACAGGATTTTTTTTAGTGACCCTGATGGTGATTATGACTCAGATGAAATGAAAGATTCTGTTGTTCAAAAGTTACTCTCTTCAACAGACTGAAAAGAATACTTGAATGTTGTAGTTCATAAACAAATAAAAGATTTGAACATATTAAACTTTCAAGTTTTAAATTTGAAAAAAAAAACAAAAATAAGACATACAAACATGACAAAACTATAAAAAGGATGAACCCTTAGGATGATTTCTTGTAACACGACCGTGCGATGGCTTTTTTGCCAGTCAAGGTCTTTAAAAAACCCCATAAGTATGTGATTTCTTGTTATCATCCTAAGACTAGGTGTTTGTCATGTAGTTAATTTGTTACAAAATTTTGATAAATTCAGAAAAAATGAAAATTTGCATAATGTTTGGAATCTAAATGACGGTGTCAATTGTATAATTTTCAGATTTTCTATTTCGTAATAAAATTCTCACATATTCTCATTTTCAAAACCACACAGTGTGTGAAATGGTTATTAGTTTTGTGTCTAGAGGAAATACATTTAAACTACAACAAGTTTCCTTTTTAATCTAAAAATAAATGCACATCTCGTTTCAAAAAATGAATGTCTTTACCTAACAAATTTGTTTTCTTTGCAAAGTACTCTGAAACATATTTTTGGTAAAGCATTTTTAAATAAACATAATAAAGGGGGATAATCCAAATATTTTGAAGAAAACTTTTTCTTTTTGGATGACTTCCCTTGCATCAAGCTATACTTTCAAGCTAACAAATAAGTAATACATTTGAAATTATGAAAATGATCATATCTGTCAACTGACCCATATCCTTTGGTGACACCCGTAAATTTCATCTCTCACCCTGGATTTTTTAAATACCTGCAGGGTCCTTAAATAACCCCGGTATTAGGAAAATGACCCGTTTTCACCCGGATTCTTGAGCCTTTAGACTGATTTCATAGGTGATTTTCCTTTGAAGAACAAGCAAATTCGTAATTCTTCCTGGAGATTACTGCTAATTGGTATTTATACACATACGATATAAGGATGAATAAAAATAAATGAAATATATATATATACTTATGTTTTTTTTTAACCTCACAGATAGGGTACCTCCAAACTTCTTTTAATATGGAAATAAATGCCCTGGATCGAAACTGCTATAAGATGTATTCAACACACACAAAAAAAAAAACGTTGTCAGAATCTCACTTTATTCATAAACAATGAAAAATTATTACACCAGGGTTTTCAATATCACAAACTAGTCAAAACGTTTACTAAATTTTATCATCGGTATAAGGACATCATTTGTAAATATAGCTCAACATGCAGACTTCTTATACGTTCAGGTATTTCACATCCAATTTTTTATGGAAATATTCTTTATAAAGCACAAAAATGTCAGTATTCACCTCTGAAGCTAACAAAACCTTTAAATAGACTTATTAAGAAGGGATATAGTTACGATACTGTTGTCAGGTCATTAAAGATTGCATATTTTGGCGTTAATATTGATTCACTTATAGGGTCTTTGCATCGGCACTAAACACATTTATTTAAAAACCAGTTGTTGGCATGACACGGGTTATGTTCTTCTCATATATGTTATGATGGTATGATACTAAACCCCTAACAGGAAGGATTGTGCCTGATATTCATATGATGAAGACATAATCTTTCAATCAGTTTAATTGAAGTCTGGAGCTGGCATGTCAGTTAACTGTTAGTAGTCTGTTGTTATTTATGTATTATTGTCATTTTGTTTATTTTCTTTGGTTACATCTTCTGACATCAGACTCAGACTTCTCTTGAACTGAATTTTAATGTGTGTATTGTTATGCGTTTACTTTTCTACATTGGCTAGAGGTATAGGGGAAGGGTTGAGATCTCATAAACATGTTTAACCCCGCCGCATTTTTGCGCCTGTCCCAAGTCAGGAGCTCTAGCCTTTGTCAGTCTTGTATTATTTTTAATTTTAGTTTTTTGTGTACAATTTGGAGTTTAGTATGGCGTTCATAATCACTGAACTAGTATATATATTTGTTTAGGGGCCAGCTGAAGGACGCCTCCGGGTGCGGGAATTTCTCGCTGCATTGAAGACCTGTTGGTGACCTTCTGCTGTTGTCTGTTCTATGGTCGGGTTGTTGTCTCTTTGACACATTCCCCATTTCCATTCTCAATTTTACTTACCTAAACATGATTAAGATTTATTCAACACATTAAAAAACGTTGTCAGAATCTCACTATATTTAGAAAAAGTGAAAGAAATATATTTATAGCGATACACTTACCATGCTTACCATTTATTCAACACCAAAATAACGTTGTCAGATTCGCACTTTATTTACTAGTAACAATAAAAAAAAATATTTATAACAATACACTAACCAAAACATGATTAAAAATTATTCAACACAAAAATAAAATACTGGTTGTCAGAATCTCACTTTATTTAAAAACAATGAAAAAAAAAATGTTTATAGCAATAAAATTGAGAATGGAAATGGGGAATGTGTCAAAGAGACAACAACCCGACCATAGAACAGACAACAGCAGAAGGTCACCAACAGGTCTTCAATGCAGCGAGAAATTCCCGCACCCGGAGGCGTCCTTCAGCTGGCCCCTAAACAAATATATATACTAGTTCAGTGATAATGAACGCCATACTAAACTCCAAATTGTACACAAGAAACTAAAATTAAAAATAATACAAGACTAACAAAGGCTAGAGGCTCCTGACTTGGGACAGGCGCAAAAATGCGGCGGGGTTTAACATGTTTATGAGATCTCAACCCTCCCCCTATACCTCTAGCCAATGTAGAAAAGTAAACGCATAACAATACGCACTTTAAAATTCAGTTCAAGAGAAGTCTGAGTCTGATGTCAGAAGATGTAACCAAAGAAAATAAACAAAATGACAATAATACATAAATAACAACAGACTACTAGCAGTTAACTGACATGCCAGCTCCAGACTTCAATTAAACTGATTGAAAGATTATGTCTTCATCATATGAATATCAGGCACAATCCTTCCTGTTAGGGGTTTAGTATCATACCATCATAACATATATGAGAAGAACATAACCCGTGTCATGCCAACAACTGGTTTTTAAATAAATGTGTTTAGTGCCGATGCAAAGACCCTATAAGTGAATCAATATTAACGCCAAAATATGCAATCTTTAATGACCTGACAACAGTATCGTAACTATATCCCTTCTTGATAAGTCTATTTAAAGGTTTTGTTAGTTTCAGAGGTGAATACTGACATTTTTGTGCTTTATAAAGAATATTTCCATAAAAAATTGGATGTGAAATACCTGAACGTATAAGAAGTCTGCATGTTGAGCTATATTTACGAATGATGTCCTTATACCGATGATAAAATTTAGTAAATGTTTTGACTAGTTTGTGATATTGAAAACCCTGGTGTAATAATTTTTCAGTAATACATAAATTTCTCTCGTTAAAATCTAAAACATTGTTACATACACGAGCGAATCGTACAAGTTGAGATATATAAACACCGTAAGATGGTGACAAGGGAACGTCACCATCTAAAAATGGATAATTAACGATAGGAAATGAAAAATCATCTCTTTTATCATATATTTTAGTATTAAGCTTTCCGTTAATGATATAGATATCAAGATCGAGGAAAGGGCAGTGGTCATTGTTAGTATTAGCTTTATTTAAAGTAAGTTCAACAGGATAAATTTCTTTAGTATACATACTGAAGTCGTCATTATTGAGAGCCAAAATATCATCCAAATATCTAAAAGTATTATTAAATTTGTGTATCAGATGTTGTTTCGATGGGTCTTTACTGATTTTTGTCATAAATTGTAACTCATAGCAATACAAAAAAGGTCCGCAATGAGTGGTGCACAGTTAGTCCCCATTGGAATTCCGATAACCTGACGATATACGGAATCTCCAAAGCGAACAAAAATGTTATCTAGTAAAAATTCAAGGGCATATATAGTATCAAAGCATGTCCAATTGACATAGTTTTTTTGTTTATTGCTACTAAAAAATGACCTAAAAGAGTTTGAACATATATATTCACATTCTGACTTTTTAAATGCCCATTTAATTAGGTGTGTGAATTTTTTCTTAATGAGAATGTGAGGCAATGTGGTATATAGGGTAGAAAAATCAAAACTTTGAACAGATTCAAAAAATACATTTACCATGACACAAAAAAAACCTTGTCAGAATCTCACTTTATTTAGAAACAATGAAAAAATATATATTCATAGCAATACACTTACCAAAACTCGTTTACAAATCATTAAACACAAAACCAATAAAAATTGGGCGCGAACGTGTAGGGTGTGTTCGGACTTTGGGTGAGAAAGTGTAGGGTGCGAAAGTGAAAGGGGGGCGAACGTGAATGGGGGCGAACGTGATTGGGCGCGAATGGACCCGGATTCCTGTGTTAACTGTCATATTAAGTGACCCATTAAGTGCATGGCTTCACTTGACAGCTTTGGTGTCAAACACACTGTTAATTAACACCAATTACCTTACTTAAAGTCATAAATGATTTGTGTATTTCATAGTTGTTTGACAAAAAATTTGAGTTACTCCCCCTTTTTTGCCAACATACTCCTTGAATTTATGTTTTATTTGTAAAAAGATTAAATCTAAGGCAAATTGAATGCAAATACATATCAGAATATTACTTTCTATTATTTTACTACCTTAGAAAAATTAAAAATTTAATATTTTGAAAATCATTTTTTTCATCTCTTCTGCCTTTAATAAATGCTTTCACTATTAGATTTTAAATTGTATTTTCTAATATTAACTACCAAGAGCCTCATGGGTAGTCAAGGTCGTTAAAAAAAACCCTTCATCGTCATCCTTTTAATGGAATAATAAATAAAGCTCTATATTGTTGCTATATACAGCCTTAATATACTGTGAAACATGTGGCTTGTGGATTGATTAAAAACTATGAATGAAACCCCAAGAGGGGTATGGCTTGGCTTGAATCGATATAATTATATAGCTATAAATGCAATGAAAAAATAAAAATTAAATTAAAGTTCAAACTATTTTCAGTTAATACTTAACCATGTGAACATGTTTTGGAAACTGTTTGATTTGAAATATAAAAAAATGTCCCCTAAATCATGTTGTAAATACTTATTTAAATTCAGCTGAAAAAAGTTCATATGTGTTATGACCTGAGATTTTCTTCTTCAATGCAGGTCATGACCTGCATTTTCATTTTCATAGGTTGACAGGTATGAATCATTGTTGACCTGTTATTTTGCTCGCCACGATATATCCTTTTTGTGCTGATGCGATGTAAAGCAATCACCAATCAATCAATTGATCTGTTATTCATGTCCAATTATAATAATAAACTTATAACAAACAATCAAAATTAATTTACGTGACCCATTGATCTTATTAATTGAAATACATCTTTATTATGAAATAATATTAGGTTTCATAAATTATATTCATGTATTTACTTCATTCATGTCAATAAAAAGGTATTTATCATGTTTATGGAGAAAAAAATAAGACATATTGTTCACCTGATCTTAACCTTAAAATATTAAAGTTACTCATTTTTTTTTATAACACTATTAAATACAGTGCAAAAAATGAAACAAAATAATAATATGGGCATTTTGAATGTGGACGAATAGACCAGGGGCCAACAGGTATGCAGGTGAAAGCATTGTGGGCGAACAGATTCAGATTCAAGAAAACAGCAAACAGAAAGTAGAGACAAGTAAATTTGAATCAAGGCTTTGTAACTTTTTAATCATTGTGGCCAATATTAATGGCACTGTTCAATTACATCACAGAATCACATTATTTTACTACCAATTAAGGGCCCCCAAGGGGCATATAGAGCATACATGTATAAGTAAAAAAGAACATTGATTAGCATAGATACATAGAATTTAAATACACAATCACAATACAATTAGACTGTAATGAAGCCCTTGGTTTATAGTATATAATAGTTACATGAAAAATAAAAAGATCTAACTCATATTCACTTTAATAAATTTTCCAACAGCATGAAGGACCTGATTGTCTTCACAGCTTAAAATAAAAGAATTTTGCTGATTGTCCAGTACAGAAAAGTTTGGAATTTTTTGGCAAACAATGTCAAAGAGAGCATCTCTATCAGAGTTAAATTTTTAGCATGAAGTTAAAAAATGGATTTCACCTTTAACCATTTTTGTCAACACAGCCATGCAGCCAGAGGAGCATTTTCTTCAAATTCTTTCATTTCGAGGAAATTATATTTGAAAAACGGTCAAATTCAATTTGAAGCTTATGAGCAGATATAGCTAAATTTGCAAATAGCTCTTCAACATTAATAAGCAAATAAAACACATGTATATAAATTTTTTTTATGTAGAATTTGATTTCAAGGGACAGCTGTTTTGTGTTTGTATGTCAATTACAAGACTGCAACCTAGTCAATAGTAAATTTTATTTAGTCCGACAAGATATGTACAAATTAACATAGTAAACACAAGGATTTGTATAGTGTTTGTATAGTGAACTGTGCGAACATGAGCTCTGTACAGGTAGAGCTCTTAACCGGTATCACCCCCCTTTTTTTCCTTTAAAATTTGCGTTTAATTTTCTAATTTTCAAACCATACGTGTAGAATGTATTCTCTACTGGGTGAATCAGGAAGTAATAAAAAGTCCTTTCAGTTTCACAACCTGCTGCTGATGCTGTTTTCTTCCAGTTACCTCCCCTTTCCCGCTGACATTGAACTGTTGCGTGTCGAAATATAGAAAGGAAAATTTGATTGGTCTACTTTTTGAAAGTCAATGAAACTCTTCGACATATCGAAAGGAAGTTAGTGACAGGACGTGACAGATTGTTTACAAATGGACGTCGTCTGTTAGCAAAATCAAAGTCAAAGAAGCCCCAATTAACTTTCTCAAATCTAGTTTGTAGTGAACATTTTCATTTCAATAGAATAGACGCTTTAGGCTTAAACAAAGTGCTTGACAACTATTCTTTATCCAGGCCACGGCTCTGGTATGTTTTATGAAGTGTTATGTGTTTCTTTATCGGCAAGGTTCGAACTGCTCCTTATTGACCTTAACAATTGAGGAAAAACACAGTTCTAGCGAAAAAAATGTTTAATACTTTACGTAAGGGATGGGTTTAGTCCGTATAATTACATGTATGACGTTTTGGATTTTCAAGCTATTTAATTCTTTCTTGAATAGAATAGAATAGAATAATTTTTATTGCTAATCACAGCACCCAACACTGTCACTGGCAACAGGTCAGGAATAATCACCAATTGGTGGATTAATCCTCAATTGATGTATAATCCACCAATTGACATATAATGGTATACTATAGACCAATTGACGTATAATTCTTTGTTTTTCAAAGCAAATTATTCAACCAAAATGGAGCATTGTTTTCTTAAAACCATATTATTGTATGAAAACATGTCAAACATTCCTAGTTTAGTCTGTTACTTTAGTATAGTGACATAACATATTGCATTTAATCAATAATAGTATTTGCAGTTTCTTCTATTCTTCAATTCTTGATTGGCAAATTTACCACTAATCAGCTGTCAATGGACATCAATACTGTCTGCAGTCATGTTATTATGTGTACAACTTTCATTATTAAAAGTCAATCATGGTCATTAGTACAGATGTTTCAACAAAAGAATTGTTGTACACATGCATTCTCAAGAGATGCAGCAGGCTTTGACAAAACTGAAACTTTCGGAGGACTCAATAATGGTCATAAAATAGGTTGTAAGTTGCAAAATGATGCTCCTATCTCACACTAGCATTTAATAACAAAAAACTTGCATTATACGTCAATTGGTCTATACCAATATATGTCAATTGGTGGATTATACGTCAATTGAGGTATAATCCACCAATTGGTGGTTATTCCTGACCTGCCCAAAGCTGAGCTGAATAATTACATTAAATTTATATACAATGATTACAAGGATTGTTTAAAACAATTGAATAATTATATGTCTAGCAATTTAAAAAAAAAAAACTGTACAAGATGTCAAAATTATTGGGATAGGGTTCATGAAATCTTCTTTAATAAAAAAAAAACAGTAACATACAGGAACAATATTTTTGTTCAATAGTTAAAATTGAAGCATATTATCTCATCTTTCAAAACCCCTTTTCTGTTAAAAAGTAACACACTGAGATGCAACAACACATGTTTTTATTAATCATACTATTTTTAGACTCGGTTTTCAATTTTGTCATCATCCGGTTCTATTTTAAATGAAAGTGGATTTCTGTTTTCTCCACCTTCAGACGACCAAGTTGCTTTTCGTTGAAAAGAAATAAAATAGTAGCACCACAACTGCTCTCATGACCAAACTTTTAAGTTTTCGAAATGTTGAAACTCGAAATGAAACACATTACAGCAATAGTGTTACGATTCCGCCATTTTGTTACGTCACAATTTTTTTTCTCTCTCAACATTCTTTGAAAGTAAATTGTGTTTGACAGCGTATTTATGCTCAATATGGAATGCACTTAGTGTTTATTATACTGTTTATGGATCAACTGTGTCAAGAAATTCGTAAGAACGTTATTTTTTCTGTTTGGATTGTGACTGTCAATTAATAGAAACTATTTATCCTTAAGGATACATTCCGCATGTACACGGGTGTGAAAAAAGGATAATTTTGGCATGCGCATGAGGGTGCCAAAAGGATACATTCGGTATGAAAGGGTTGAATGAAACCAATTTTAACTGATGATGTAATTTTTTTATGGAAAATGGCTAAATATGGTTAAACACGGGATTGCAATTATAAATTTATGCATGAACTTTTCAATTTTAATATTTTCTGTCCTTTCGGAAGACTTAATAAAGTCTATAATTTGAGATATGCCATTTTTACTTAAGTGTATAATTATAATAATATAATAAATTCTTTATTTAAAGAGGGTAAACTCAGTTAGTTACAATAAACTAATCTTCCCTGAGGCCCTCACATACAAATTACAATACAATCAAAAAACAGATATTTACACATAGTTAATTTACAGTCAATTAGTTCAATGTAATACTACTAACATGATAAGATATAAGGCTGTTCAAGATGTACATGTAGTCAAAAAACAAATACAAATATAAATAAAAGAATATACAAATACATTGTAGAAAACATAATCTTATCAGGACTGTGTTAAGTACTTCTTGATACTTTGTTTAAAAGTATAAGTGTTTTGAGCTTTACGCATTTTGTTTGGTAGTCCATTCCATAACACTGATCCAGAATAAATTGAAGTTCAGGAATTCCATTTGTGTGTCTTCTATGCGAGTTCCTTGGAAAGCAATATAGCAAACATTATTATTCTAAAGGTAGATAACTGTACTAAATAAAAGTTTACAAAGTATTTTTAAATCATTTTTTTTATTAAAGTTTTTCAAATAATGCATTTACTTTTCAAATTCCCATTGTTAAAGAGACTAATTCTTCAGTACTTTTTTATACAATTATTTAGATTCGAGTTATTAACCTTTTGAATAATTATGTGCTCCATATTGTTTTACAAGGAATTTGCATACAAGACTCATAAATCGAAAATCCTGAATAGGAAACCAGTGATATATTTCTGATATAAACACAAGTAATTGTTTTGTCGTGAAATTTGCTATTTATATTTCAACCAAATTAATTTGTAAAAAAAATAAACATGTTGACGGTCAGGAGAAAACAAAATTATGAACAAATAAACTATACACTTCAGAAAATTCTGTGTCTTTCAGCACATCGTTTTGTTGTTAGAACCCAACCATAAAAGCCTTCAAATATTTAAAAAAAAAAATGTCTTATTATATGAAATACACATGTACATGTATACAACCATATACATGTAGTAGCAATTTATACATGACTCATACAGTTATACTTATTGCAAAACACTATCTAAATTCTTAATGTACAGGGTTTGGATGAAGACTCAACTCTCATGAGAAATAAGTTGGTACATATAGATGTCAGTGCTGGCATTTTTCTTTTTATTGATTTTAACATGTTTTATATTACTTGAAATGAACTAAATGAATGAGTTTAGAAGATCATGGTTTGTATGGTCTACTTACCTCATTCATTTAATCATTTTAACCTCATTTCACAATAATGACAATGTTTCATGTAATTGAAATGCTTAGTATTACTTTATGATGTGTATTAACCTCAAAATATTTGTGTCCTGCATTGGACAAACATATAATTATCACAATATGTCTCATATTTAATTTGTTTAATGCTTTGCACGTACATTAACTTAGCTTAGTCACACTTAGATGATTAACAGTCATTCTCAAGGTCGCTGGATATTTGGCAAAAGCCAGTAAAAATTGGTTTGGTCCAGTTAAGTGATAGATTGTATTAGTGGACCAAATGACCAGTAAAAATTTTTATTTTGTCCAAATCATATGTGTAAATGTCCTGTAAAGTAGAGTCTGGTCCAGTTAAGAAGAATGGTTTACTGGACTAAATGTCAGTTGATTTTCTCATAGCCTTCGGAACCACTGTGATAATTAGGTCAATTTACTCTAATAATAGCATATCATTTTTTTTATTTGAGGAGACAAAAATGTCCTATAATTACGAAAAAATAGTGATAGAATAAATGCATCTAGGAAGATATTAAAATCCCATGGCAGTATTTTTGATATGATATTACAACTTTGTGTTGCATCATGATCAGCTATAACTATACACAAATTTGATATAAATCTTTTAAATGAGTTTAAGAAGTGGAAATCTCTTTTTAAATCTTTCAGTTTATAATGGGTCAAATTTTCATTTTGGACAATGCAATGTTTTTGGGTCTTTAAAGAATCTTTTGGAGTTAATTCCAATTTCTATGTTATTCCATTGGACATCATATGAGAATTGAACTAAAATGAATAAACATGTCGACCAAATAAACAGATACTTTGCGGTAAAAACTTGAGTGGTGTTGTCTTTATTGTGACATAAAATGAATAAAGAATAATTTGCATACTCCAACAGCTAGGCTTTCAAAATGGCAAATATCCATTAATGCTCAAGCAGATCTACTAACTGAAGAAAAATTGATTTGAATGTATGAACAGTTAAGACCCTGGAGTAAGGGAGATAACTCATGCTTTGGCCATGTTCGTTCAGATTTGCCAGTAGTTTATGACATGTATGATAATAGTGATGGGGCACCTCTGAAAAACATTTTGTTAACATTTTGTCTGGAGGATAGTGCAATAGCATCAAGAAGAAAATAATAAGTTAAACTCAACAAATAATTTAATGAAGGTGTTTTTTTTTATATAGATGCAGGTTATAAAGCTAATAGAGGTAGACATTGAATGATCACATGTTTACTTTGAAGGATTTCTCAGAAATAAGTCTTTATGATTTTGGGATAATAACCATGATAACTCTTTTGATATAAAATCTTGGACGTTTTGGGGAAATATTTGAACTGGACAGTTATACAATCTAATTAAAATTAGTTCTTCGCACTTGCCCCTCATTTTAGTTCGGTTGTTTATATGTGTGACATATAAACAACCGAACAGAAAACGAGGAGTAAGTGTGGAGAACTAATTCTAATTAGATTGGATGCTATAGTTGGTAGAAGTATGAAGGTGTAAAGTTTTGATGCTAAGTAATGGGCTGTGCAGTGTACTTAAATGTACTTTAATGTACCTGTGTGGCTTGGGTCTTCAAATACATGACTGAATTCCTGTAGATCTATATGATCTTCATAAACACAGAAAAAAAAAATAGTGTCAAGTGAAATTGTAGAATGGATCCTCTGGCCTATATTAGTTTTGTATATTTTTTTAATTTTGGTTCATTTATACATGTTTTGGAGTTTAGTTTGACGTCCATTTTCGCTGAACTAGTACACATTTTTGTTAGGGGCCAGCTGAAGGCTGCTTCCGGCTCTAGCTGTGTTGAAGACCCATTGGTGGCCATGGTCTGTTTTCTGCTCTTTGGTCTGTTGTTCTCTTTGACACATTTCTCGTTTCCATTCACAATTTTACATTATTGACAAAAAAATAGAAATTTTGTTCTTAAATTTTTAATGTCTGAAAGTCAAATTGTGTACAGAATGTGGTCAAATTGTGAAATTGTCAAAAATATTGTGTTTTTAAAGGTTTATGAATATATGATAACTGTTGTTGTAGCAATCTTTTTAACAACATATTGTTTTCTATTAGTGTTTGAAAAATTGATTACAAGTGTCATCAGGTGAATCCATGCATGATTGGATTTTATCGTTTTATAGACATTTATTTCAAAAAAATTTATATATTGGTTTTCGAAATATAAGGATTTTATGCGAATTCTAAGAATTTTGTTTCCTTCTCTACAAGTGCAAGTTATATCTGCTGAATAGTACCTGCATGACTACCAACAGAATTAAGGAATTTTTATATAATATATATATATTCATAGAAAAGTTTTAGTTGTACAAACTGAAAAAGTACTGTGTAGTCCACATAAATGACACAAAAGACAATGAAACCCTTGCAAACATACTTCTATTCTTAAAGTATTGGTTGAAAAATATTTGAGATAAATTATATATATAATTATTCATATTTTTCATTTTTCGTAATTTTACATGCCTTTCAAATCTCTGTTTTATGAATGTTAAGTTTTATTTTTGGGATATATAGGGTCATAGGCCAAGTTCCACATGATTACCAGGTAACCAGAAAATAGTCATAAGCATTAAAAATCTTTTTGGTTGGCATGCTTGGTCTCAAAATAGCCAGTTCCATTTAAAATCTTTTTCACTTTTCCACAATCCACAAAAATAAATGAATCCAGTGACAGTATCTAAAAATTCATAAACATTTTGCCAAACTTTCAACCTTTGGTCAGAATTATAAGCTTACAGCCTTACAAGTAATGTTTTATTGGTATATCCATGATAAGAATGGGGAAAAAAAATTGTATGACATCTGTTTACTTTACTAAATAGTGGACATAAATTACACAAGGTAAAGCATTGAAATTTTAAAATTACCAACAGAAATGAAATTGAGGCAAAGAATGGAACACCTGCACAATATTATACGTGTTATAAGATGGATAGTATATTATAAATGTAAACTTTGTAAAGTCTAAATGTGTTTGTTTTCAAATGAATATATTTAAAATAATCTTTTTATTTTTATCCAGGATTTAATTTATTGACTTAAGTATATTGGAATGTAAACAACAAATTGTCATTCAGATTACTGAATAAACTTTGCCAATTCAGACACAGTACAAATTTGGAATTTAATGAAAAGGGACATACATTTAAAGATAAAATTATTGTTTTCAATGTAAAAGTTTGAAACCCAAACAAATCTTTAGTATATTATATTTATTTATTTGTTGATAAAAAGTTGAAGTCTTGTGATTATTAAGATTTTTATATCTTTGAGTATGTGCGTAACACCTTTGTAAATTAACCAGAAGAGAATCATTAGAGGTCGTGACAGAAACGTGTATGGCGTCAATATCGTTGTAATGGATTAATCCTCCGATCATTTATAATAGATAAACGATCTGATTGTTCACAATTTATGAGCGGAGTTAACCACATATAGTATTTTTCTTCCTTTATTTAGAAGTATTTAAAATACTGTTTTACTTCAAACATTGTTCAAACACATTAAGTTACTGTGATTTATTGGTTAAGAAATATTTTAGAAACAATTTGAAAAAGAGGAATAGTGGTTTGGAAATTTTTACCATTTTTAAAAAAATGAGAAATTATAATGAATACAATAATTACAATAAAGGACGAAGACCTAAAACGGCACCTTTCAAAGCAGTGAGTAAACCTTTTTCATTTTTAAAACTCTGGATAGTTTTTGTGATTGTTATATACAAATATACATATTAAAACAATGTTATTTTGTATTTTCTCTTATGAAAACTCTTGCATCTATATTTATAATAGTTTGGTAAAATGATCTCATTTTTAATATGAGATACTACAATGTAGTAATTGAGTTGAAATTCAGAATTTTCAAAATCATTTTGACTTATGGTTTGTTTGTCTTGAGATAAAGAAATTAAGTTAATGTGGCCTTCAGACTTGACATAACTTTTATCGCTTTCAAAACACTTATTGATAATAAAACTGGAAAGAATTTTGGTTGGGTCAGAGTGTATGTTATTCCTACTCTTGGTAATTGAAATGGGTGATTATTTCAAGTGACATTATTTTTAAGTCCGATAATACAAGACTTTTTTTTAACATTAATTTTGTTGAACTTAAGTCAGAATATTTAGGAAATTCAGAGAACATCATGGCAAGATTGGGAAGTACTGCAGATGATAGTGAAATTCAGGTTTGAACTATGCATACGTGTAGACTAGTTGACTAGTTTATTAATACTTGCCAACTTGGCTGCAATTTTATTTTTTATTTTTTTTTTTTTTTTTTTTTTTTTTATGCAATGAGTAGGGATTTTGCATTGAGATTTCTGTCAAAATTTAAGTACAATATTAATTCAAATGTTTACTTTTGCAATGTGCAAAGATAAATATACTTTCATGTTGCATGACTTAACACATGTATTTTAGATACATTTTGTATTTCAGTTCTATTTAGAGTCCTGTATATTTGAAAAAAGAATCATGACATTGCATGTCTCAATATTTTTTGGAAAATAACATAACTTTGAAAAATCAAATACTGAAGTACTGAATATCGGATGACCACAAGTTCTTGAGGATGGTCAAAAGCACTTGTCTCAGAAAAAAACAACATATCTCTTTACCTGAAACTGAGGTTAATGTACAGAGATATATTTTTTTCTGAGACAAGTTCGTGCGTGGATGATGAATAAATGACAGGAAATTCAACTTCACCGTAATAACTATTATATTGTAGTGATACAAATCAGTATACACTGATTTGTTGTTATATATTATATTAAAATAACAGTTACATATATATATGATTTGCATCCATTTGTATATCATTCTATTCTACTATTCTAATAATAGTGCAATGCAAGTGCATGGTGGACACTTAATTTCTGTAAAAATTCGATTTTTCTAAGATTGGATACGAGTAGACATTCATATTTTCCCGCAAAAACAATTACAGAGTTACCGGTCTTTGTCGGTATTGTCGCAAAACGTTCTTTGAGATATTCTTCCGCATGCTTTAACACAATTTTTCGGTACATGTGCATTGATATTATCAATGATTTTTTACTTATATATATATATCTAACTACAAAACATTTTCATATTATTAATTTATGTTGTAAACAAAAATATTTTTATCAGTATTCATTGAAGAGATGTATTTATATCAAACGATAAGGAATGTTATTTTGCACTCATTTATGTGTGCATATTTATCATGTTTATAGATCGGTTACAAACCCAAAACTAATTTACATAATGGAAATCAAGGCGATAGCAATACATCGGAACGACCTCAAGGTCATCGCGATGTAAAAAGGAAAATATTTCTTCTCTTTTATTTGAAATGTGTGTTAGATTGAATGCATTTATTATTTTATGATTAAATGCAATGCATTTATCCTGGAATCATGTAACAAATGTTGGTTAAAGGTAGCTTACCATGAAGTTGTTGTCACATCAACTTGACATTTAGTGCACATATCTTCATTCTGAAGTGAACTTTTCAAAATGTATACCAAATTAGAGTTTGACCCAGATTTTGCAGTTCACTGACAATGGAAATGTGAAAGTGCATGTTTGGCAAGGTTTCCAATGTTAAGTTTTGGTTTTGCATTCCCAAATCTGTGCTTCATGTTTTCATTACAAAAATCGCATTATGAATTTTTGTATAAAACTTATATTGAACACAGTAGAATCCAATGCAATGCACCTAAATGGATACAACATTTATATAACGAACCAAAAATTAAACTCGCATGTTTTAAGATCCAGTAACTAGTATATATACTATGAAAACCTTGTATCTTTTTTTTTTATCAGAAAAGGTCAATAAAAGACATTTTTCAGCAAACATTTATTAAATGTTGGATCGACCTTAGCAGAATGAAATATTTGCCACTGTACATCCAGCAAACAACAATCAATCAATTAAATGTAGATGATTAGTAAAATCCATAGGGGGTGAGGGGGTCAGTAGTGAACTGTATAACGAATTTATCGCACATGGGACTTTTCCTGCAAGTCTTGTATAGAAATAAACGATGAAATACAATAACATTAATGGATGCCGTCACCATTAATAACAAACGTGACGTCATGAACCACATATGAAATCTACTGTCCCCATATGGATCCATAGGGGTCACCACATGACGACGTTAAACCAATCACAACGTCATAAATTTAACTAGAGGTCCGATAATTGGTAACCCTTTTAGTCTTAAGCAGATAGGGAACTTTCAGTGATATTTTTAAATGTGGTGTATGCAAATTTTACTTTGTTAATAAATGAAACAATTAATTTAGGGTTGGATATAACATTTTGATAGCAATAATAACATATGTGTTTAAGTGTCCCATATTCCCTAATATAAAAGTAATAATACAACAAGAATAATATTAATCCATTAATTCATATTTTGGATAACAAAAGAAATGTAATATTGATGTTATCAAAATATTAGAAACAAATATTGTTACAGAACAATAAATCATAGAACATTGGAACTATGAGGGGAAAAACAGATGGGAACTCCAATAAATCTTTTAACATTTTAATAATTAAATAGATAAAAAAAAGTTCTCACCCTTCAGCAGGGGGTTACAAAATCAGACTAAAGGTATCTTGACAATTGGCCTAATTTCTTTTGTCTTTTATTATTGATATTAATAATTTTTATAATTAGGTGACTTGGCAAATTGTCAGCTCAAATCTTTATGGTAACATTTATCTGCCGTCTGTTAACAAGTGGTATACATAATATAAGAGAATCAAGACTAGAATCAACCATGCTTTGCTATTGTTTGCCCCTTTCAAAATGATGTTAATTGAATTTAAATTGCTTTGTAAGCAATAGTTTTATATATGATCATATATATAGTATATCATCATACATGTAGGTTTCAATATACCTTTCCTTAATTATTTACACTATTAAACATACTTTAGAGTTTCATTTCACATTAATTGAGTATACCTGACACAATATTAAATGGCAGTATATATATATATATATTTTCACTGTAGAGATCAGTCTTTAGAAATTAGAAAATATGCTTTTCTAGTTTATATCCATTTATTGAATTAATTGTATAGTATGGAATGTATGGTTGTTTTTGTCACAGTTTTGGATTAAGTTATTCTTTAACGAATATCTAAGTAAAATTCAGCATGCCTTTTGAATGTGTAAGTATTTCCGTGAAATATTGTTTATAGACTATACATTCATATGTACAATTTTAGCCAATTTGATAAATTGATTGCCGGAAAAACTTTTATCAACATTTCGGTGTTCAGAATCCATTGGCATTGTTTGCATTCTGTTGCTGTTTTTGTCGAGCCTTCGACTTTAGTCGAAAAAGCGAGACATAGCGATCCTACATTCCGTCGGCGGCGTCCACAAATATTCACTCTGTGGTTAAAGTTTTTGAAATTTTAATGACTTTCTTAAACTATCCTGAATTTCTACCAAACTTGGACAGAAGCTTGTTTATGATCATAAGATAGTGTCCAGAAGTAAATTTTGTAAAAATAAAATTCCATTTTTTCCGTATTTTACTTATAAATGGACTTAGTTTTTCTGCCGGGAAATATTACATTCACTCTGTGGTTAAAGTTTTTAAAATTTTAATAACTTTCTTAAACTATCCTGAGTTTGTACCAAACTTGGACAGAATCTTGTTTATGACCATAAGATAGTATCCAGAAGTAAATTTTGTAAAAACAATAAATCCATTTTTCCTTATTTTACTTTTAAATGGACTTAGATTTTCTGCCAGGAAACAACACATTCACTCTGTGGTTAAAGTTTTTAAAATTTTAATAACTTTCTTATACTATTTTGGATTTGTACCAAACTTTGACAGAAGCTTGTTTATGATCAAAAGCTAGTATCTAGAAGGAAATTTGGTAAAAAAATAAATCCATTTTTTTCAGTATTTTACTTTTAAATGGACTTAGATTTTCTGCCAGGAAACAACACATTCACTCTGTGGTTTAAGTTTTTAAAACTTTAATAACGTTCTTATACTATTTTGGATTTGTATCAAACTTGGACAGAAGCTTGTGTATGATCAAATGCTAGTATCTAGAAGGAAATTTTGTTTTCTTCCAGTTAACATTACATTCAGTCTGCAGTTAAAGTTTTTAAACATTTATTAGATTCATAAACTATCCTGGATTTTTACCAAACTTGGACAGAAGCTTCATACAATCAAAAGATAGTATCAAGAGGAATATTTTTATTGATTTACTTCCTCATTTTTGTTGAGCCTGTGATTAACATAAATAGTAGGCGAGACACTGGGTTCCGCGGAACCCTTACGAATTTTTAATCAGATAGAATGCAATATTTGCTTTCTTTAAGCATGAATTCTAAGAAATGGTACTTCAGGATTCTTTATATATAATTACTGAACTGACTGACAGCTGTAACAAGCAGTTCAATTCTTTATGACAAAAATGCATCATTTTCCAAAAAAGTGTAGATACATCTAAGATCTCATTTTCTTTTAAAAAGTCTTGTCTCTTTGACACATTCCCCATTTCCATTCTCAGTTTTATCTTTTCAACCCTTTACTAATTCATTGAACTTAATTGTACTGAACTGTACATTTTTTCTGCCAAGGTTGAATTTAAAAATTGTTTTCAGTGTTACCTTCTAATTTGAATTAAAAGAGACTTATTTTAAAAATGCAGTATTCATTCGTTCCAATGGTTTGATTGTTCCAAATTTTGTTTAAACAACATACTTTTTTTTTTATTCATTTTTGACCTCTAGCTACATTGTACATTTATCAAAAAGAATACATTATAAGATTGCCAATATGAGGGCTTCTACATTGGGCTAATGAGTCTTAATGCAAAATAATCTCTAAACTCACAGTAACTCATCTGTATATGTATTTCTTTGCACCCTTAATGACAGATCCTACGAAACCCTCATGGGCCTTCAAGGTCATGAAACACCCCTGAAGCACCCTACATGAATGAAACTGAATCTTAGGATATATATATTTATTGTAATCCGTGTAACGCATTGCGTGGGACATGGAAATACCGGGCGTCCGTCCGTCCAGTCTTGTTAGCTCTCTCACAGGTACAATTCTTGCCAGATTTTTATAAAGCTTATACTTTAGGTTAATATCAGCAATATCTTGGACAAGTTTTATAATGGTGGCTGATCAACTTTTTTTAAAAGAGTTATGCCCCTTGGAAATATTAAATTTATGGAAAATGGCCTCGTTAGCTCTCTCACAGGTACAATTCTTGCCAGATTTTTATAAAACTTATACTATAGGTTAATATCAGCAATATCTTGGACAAGTTTTATTATGGTGGCCGATCAACTTTTTTTAAAAGAGTTATGCCCCTTGGAAATATTAAATTTATGGAAAATGGCCTCGTTAGTGCTACAAAAAAAGAGTGTTTTATTTAGTTATTGCCCTTGTATCTTGGATAGATAAGAGATATTAGATATGTGCAACGCAGGGGACATTGGAACTCTGTTCTTTTATTTATATTTTTTAAGTAAATCTAAAATTCTTTTCACATACCAGTATATATACATTCTAGTAAATTTGTAGAAATTTACTAATCATGAATTAAGTTTGATAAAACTTTAATACCGTTATTATTATGGGCCTTAAATACCTCTTGCTCACAAATATTTTATTTTTCTAATAATACAAAGTTGATCCTCTATCAACATGATCAAATTGACCCAATGACCTATGTTTTGTTGTAACACAAAATCTTCTATTCAGAATTTCTATTGTTTGAAAATTTAATAGAATTCAAAAAACTATAGATTTGGTGTAGGTTGATGTAGGTGTGTATAATCTTAATATTTGTTTATTTAATTACCACAAATCCTAATTAGGATAAACGCTTAAATGATTCAGCATTTTGATGTTTTTGTGTACATTTTTTAATGCTTGACTCTTAACAATCTTATATTTGTTTGATTAAAGATAGAAATCAAAGATCGTTAACTTTATATTCAAATTGCATCTTTGTTCAGGTTTTGAATAATTTGAAATCAGATGGATTTTTAGTGCAAAATGGTATAAGTAAGACGATATTTTTACATTTGATATTTAGATTTATAATATAATCTTCCTTATTTAGACAAAAAACCAGATCACATCTAGAAATTGTATTTACAACAGATGTTTTTTACTAAGGAATTTTTCCGAAATGATTTTATAGAAAAGGAGGTTCTCCAGAGGGAGGCTTTTATAATAAGTGATTGGTCAGTATAGTTGAATTTCCAAAGAAATGTTTTTGAAATACTAATTATATCTTATTTTGAAACTGCTGATGATTTTGGTTGAAAAAAAAATATTTTCTGATCCTCACTTTTTTAATTATGAAATAAGCCTTGAATAAACAGAGAAAAAATTTTGCACTTAAAGATAGAATCTTACTGATTTTATTTATTAAATAAATTTTGCATATAATGGGAAAGATAAGAAATTGAGTATCAATTCATGACATAAAATCATAGATACACACACATGAAAAAAACAAAGACAAAGGAACAGTACTTATATTGCTGCTCTTCATCTTTAAGTGGCAGTCACTGAGTCCAGCCTACTATATTGAGCAAAAACTCTCATGTCACCTCAAATGCAAGACAGCACCTAGCAGCTGCCTAATTAAATATATATATATATATGTTTTGAAAAACTGCAATCCACAATGGAATTACAGTAACAAACCGCAAGCTGGTTTTTTTTGTAGATTAATTTGTCTTATAGTACTAGCTTGGAAGAAAACTGTGAATTTTTCAACACATTGCAGAAATTTTGTACTGAAAACACATATTGACCATTTATAAATGAGTCAATTTATTACATTGTTATAAAACCTTTTTTATTTTCTTTGTAATGCAGGGTAATTATGATGTAATTGATTCGCCGATGACCAAGGTGGTGGAACGTGATTGTGGGTTGATCCCAATGATGAATGGACACGGTAAAGAAGCTGGGCTTGTTCCCCTAAGTAAGGAGGAAAGTCAGAAGGAAGATGAGATGACCAAAAGACTACACGTTCTTCAGGAAGAAAGTTTAGAGCCATTAAAAGAAGACTTGTCAGAATGGCTTGCAAAAACATTAAGTAAGTTGAGTACTTGTTTGAATTGTTTCACAATTTGTCATGTTGGGGCCTATTATAGCTTACTGCATGGAACAGGATTTGCTTAACGGTGACCTATAGTTGCTTACATCCCTGTCATGTTATACTCAGGTGGATAGTTCTCTCATTTGCAATCATATTACATCTCCTTATTTATATATTCATTATTGTGCAATAGATTTTTGCAATTCTGAAGCATAGATGTTTAAATATCAAATTATTGATGAAGGAATTATAAATCTGTACACAGGATTTGAATGCATGTAGATGCAGCTAATGATGATCTCTACTCTTGTTATCTCAAAATTAATCCGACTGACAAAAATAATTTGAAATATCGGTAGCAGGAATTTTAAGATATATCAGGAGTTGACTTTTATATCAAAATGATATTTTCCCCATTGGTTGGCACTTTAATACAATGCTCCAACATGTACAGCTGGTTTAAAAATAATGCAAACCAAATGTGGATTTATTTTTGTTGGTGCAACAATAAAGAAATTTCTTGTTAGTTAAGTTGTTATGACAGCATGCTATTGGAAGCTCTATGAGCAGCAGCTCCATTATTTTGTCAAATTCAGTCATGGGTTCTACACAACAAAGATGAATAAAGGGAAATGTGGGAAAACTCAAATTAGACAGCAACCAAACAACATAAAACAGACATCTAGAGTCCAGCATACTGACAAGTATCTCTGTTGGGTCATTTGCTACAATATTTCCCCTTTTTCAGTATTTAAATTTTAACATTTGGACTATAGTTTGCTTGATGACATAAAATTTAACTGTCTAGAGTAGAGATATATCACAATTCCCTCGCAACAGAAGGAGAATCTATATTTGCTGATACTAAGCTTACATCAGTTATATTTATATATATTGTAAAGTTTCTTTGTCATGTTTGTCAATTGTTTAAGAAATATTCATTGGGTGTCTATTTTAAGTAATGTTGGAATGTCAGGTACTGTTCGTCCTTGATCCTATCTTTTCTTGTTCAAGAATATGTAATTAAGGTTGATTTTTTATAAGATTTAATTAAGCTTAATTAATTAATTTGGCAACAGTTTTGTTGAATTAGCAAATTGATTGATTATTTGTGAATAGTAGATTTTGATGAGATAATAAGCAGAATATAAGAAAAGAAATAATGAACTGACCTAATATACCAGGGTACTACAGGTTCAGAAGTAAATTCAGAAGAGTTTAAAAATGCATTGGCAATGAAATTTCTCTTGCACTCACATTGCAAAGCCAACAAAGGAATCTCATTTCCTAATCTCCTGTTTAATCTAAGTATGTATACATGCGTACATAAAATAAAAAGTTTTTCACTTTCAGAATTTAGGGCATTCAAGATAATCATTTCCAAAATTAAAAACAATATTGAGTTACTTTAAGAAAGTTAACAACAAATGCTGTGATTTGGTAAAAACATCCAAAATAAAAACTGGAAGATACCAAAATAACAAGAAAAATATATCCAAATAATTGAGTAGAAGATACTAAAACACCTTGGTAACAAGTAAAAGATATCAAAATGATTAAGTAGAAGATACCAAAATAACAAGTAAAAGATATCCAAATAATCTATAAGTAGAAGATATCTAAATAACAAGTAAAAGATATGCAAATAATCTATAAGTAGAAGATATCTAAATAACAAATAAAAGATATCTAAATAATCTATAAGTAGAAGATACCAAAATAACAAGTAAAATATATCCAAATAATCTATAAGTAGAAGATTTTTAAATAACAAGTAAAAGATATCCAAATAATCTATAAGTAGAAGATATCTAAATAACAAATAAAAGATATCTAAAAAATTAAGTAGAAGATACCTAAATAACAAGTAAAAGATATCTAAATAATTAAGTGGAAGATATCTAAATAACAAGTAAAAGATATCCAAATGATCAAGTAGAAGATACCAAAATACCCCGGTAAAGTAAAAGATATCCAAATGATTAAGTAGAAGATACCAAAATACCCGGTAACAAGTAAAAGATATCCAAATAATTAAGTAGAAGATACCAAAATAACAAGCAAAAAATATCCAAATAATTAAGTAGAAGATACCAAAATAACAAGTAAAAGATATCCAAATGATTAAGTAGAAGATACCAAAAATAACAAGTAAAAGATATCCAAACGATTAAGTAGAAGATACCAAAAATAACAAGTAAAAGATATCCAAATAATTAAATAGAAGATACCAAAATAACAATTAAAAGATATCCAAATAATTAAGTAGACGATACCAAAATAACAAGTAAAAGATATCCAAATGATTAAGTAGAAGATACCAAAAATAACAAGTAAAAGATATCCAAATAATTAAGTAGAAGATACCAAAATACCCCGGTAACAAGTAAAAGATATCTAAATGAATAAGTACCTGGTAGAAGATACCAAAATAACAAGTAAAAGATATCATAATGATTAAGTAGAAGATACCAAAATAACAAGTAAAAGATATCCAAATGATTAAGTAGAAGATACCAAAATACCCCGGTAACAAGTAAAAGATATCTAAATGATTAAGTACCGGGTAGAAGATACCAAAATAACAAGTAAAAGATATCCAAATGATTAAGTAGAAGATATCCAAATAACTTTGAAAAGAGGAAAATCTGGAGAACAAAATATAAACAAAAAACCAAATTGATAAAGACAGGTATAAAAAGCAAAAAAGAATAAACTTTACAAACTGCAACACTTCAACCTAAAACTTTGGTCATTATGAAATTCCATAAAATAGGCAATGATTCTCCAGAGCGGTAGTTGAGTTTTTACACATCGTCTAATGGTTCTGTTATAGGAAATATCCCACCATTGCCAACAATATTCTTATCTTGGTGAAAAAATAAGGAAATTACACATAGCTTATTAGATTCAATAACAATGAATTATCTGGTTTATATATATGGGAAATAACATGGGGGAGATATTGATGACTAAGGCGGGATTTGTACTTTTATTTTGCCTTGCCTGCAACAAAGAAGTTAGAGGACTTAGGCGTGCTGTGTTTGGCATTGGCGGCATCAACAATTTGATTAAGTTTTGATAAGGTCAGTTAAACTCAGTTTAATGTGGACCACTAATTGGAAGTCAATGATACTTGGTATGTAGATATATCAGCATTATCACATCTCATTTCCATGGAGTTTATTATACCCCTGCTTTAAAAAAGTGGGGGTACACTGCTTTACCTCTGTCTGTCCATCCGTCTTTCCGTCCCATGAATATTTTTCGTTGCATTTTTCTCAGGAACTACATCATAAGGATTTCTGAAATTTGGTTTCAGGGTTTATATAAGTCAGCTATACTGTGTGATGCGTTTTCAGATTCATCACTCAACAACTTCCTGTTTACCGTCAAGTATTGGGCGGGGGTATCATCAGTGAGCAGTAGCTCACAGTTTCACTTGTTTGAATCTGCACTCTCATTCACTGTTGATTTAATTTGAAAGTATTGCCTAGTTGAAATGTGATAGTGTTGCCATTTAAATTACAAAATTTGAATAATGCTATCAAAATTACAAACAGGCGTGACATATTTCCGTGTCAATAGTTTATTTTAAATACATATGCATTAATTTTGGACCCTTTAATGGAGTTTTATAAAATATCATGATCAACTGTGGTCAAGTTTTTCAGTCAGAATTTTTGTTCTTGTCATATTTTTCTGCATATATATAAATATATTCAATCTTGTAATTTATTCCTCTACATCAATTGGAAATGAAAATTTCTTGGCTAAATGATCATTGAAATTCTGTGAATGAATTATGTTTTATCAAACAATTTTGCGACTTTACTTATCAGTATATAATAAGGGGACCTTTTTTGTATGTATTTGATAGGTTTTATGTTTTATCAGGACTTATAAAAAAAATCTAAACATTGTTAGATAAAACTACAGAGATAAAGTGGATTTTCAATAAAAGAGAAAGGTCACTTTTCAATTTATTTTCTGCGCTGCATTTTTTAAAAAGAAAAGTAGAAAGATTGTGTTTTCCTTGAAGAACATTAATGAAATAAATAAAAATCTGTTTTAACAGTAAAAGCACAAGAGAGTCAATAATATCTTGTTTGTTGACAAAACCTGTTTAACAGGAGTTTGACTGACATAAATTGATTCCTAATTAGAATTGAACCTGTTCATTATTTTGTTTTGATTGATGTATTTGTTACAACAGTTGATAATTACAAGCTCATGAAGACAGATAATCTCTTTAATGCATCAAAATCATTGCCAAACTTCTTTCACAATGCCCTATATAGACCTCCAAGGTTTTTCTCGCTGTTGGAATAAGCGTGTCCAGCAGAAGTCAAATGATTAATACCCAATGTTGTGACATTTGGTGCCGGGTGTTTAGAGTTTGGTGACATTTCATGATAAACATCTGACAACTGTTTGTTCTTTGATCTGATATCAATGTATATTAATTGTAAACAATATGCACTGTCCATGTCGTCCGACCGAGTGGGGGGTTGCCTCTTGCCAGAGTCGTATCATTTTACCGTTAAATAGTATCTATTTTCAGAAGATTTTATTTTACATCTATTTAAAAACCTCTTAGACATGATTAATTTTTATTTAAGTCATATCAGGGTTTTTTTTTTTTAATTCTGAAACCCTCAAGTTGAAAGATTTTTAGTTAGATAACAAATATAAAAATTAGAAAAGATGTGATATGATTGCTGATGAGACAACTCTCCACCAGAGACCAAATTTGTAGAAGTTAGCAACTATATAGGTCACCATAGGGCCTTCAACAATGAGCCAAACCCATACAGTATAGCAAGCTAAAAAAGGCCAGAAATGATAAATGTAAAATAATTCAAACGAGAAAACTATAATTGCCTAATTTATGTACAAAACAATGAATGAAAAACAACTATGCTATACAGCAACAAGCAACAACCACTGAATAATAGGCTACTGAATTGAGACAGGTACATATAGAATGTTGCAGGGTTAGACATGTTTTCTGCCCCTTAAACCCTGTACGATGGTAACAGCACAACATAAGAACAAACTATAAGAACTATAGGAAAAGGGCTTAACTAATCAAATCAACACAAAGCACAAAAAACAACTAACAAAAAACTTATACCAAGTAAAAGTATTTAATCTCATATATATAATTTTATGTATATATAATTTTTTTTTCATTTAATTTTAGATATAGATATCACAGCGGAGACATTTATGGATGTTTTAGACAATGGTGTATGTTTATGTAAGCTAGCTCAAGTTATACAGCAGAAAGCTGAGGAATGTGTGGCCAATGGTACATGTACAGAGGTAAAAAGGATTAGAAATATAAATCGGGGGCGGATTCAGACGGGTTGCACCCAGCATGCCCTCCCCTAAAACAGTGAAAAAAAATGTAATTTTTAGGTAAAATTACAGCCAACTTTTTGTCATAATATGGTCCTAATGCTCAGAAGCGCCCCTAACATCAAATCCTGGATACTCGCCTATAAATGGAATAGAATGAAGTGTTTTAAAGTTACTGCCAACTACACAATAACCCTACGCACTTGTAATCTACTTTTTTTTTAAGTTAACATCAGTCTTATATTTTTATGAGGTGTTTCTGCTTTTAAGGTTGCAATTCTGTAAATATAGGCAATGCAATTTCCCATAGGAACTCCCTTTGCGGCTAAAACTGTGCCACTTTTACTGTGAAGTTTCGTGAAAAATTATATCCCAGAACGGAAAGTTGATATGCACTACTATTTTATTCAAAGTTCAAAATATAGGGCTGTGCGGCATATTTTCAACATTTATATGCCCTGAACTTCTAAGAGTTTAAACTTATACTAAAATTCTATACTACCCCTACCTCCATTTTTAGACCTCCTAAGAATTAAATTTTAGGCGCTACCATGTTTTTCTACACTGGTAACACTCCCAAGTTATGTCTCTATGAGATGATACACAGAGATCATATCTGGGAACCAGTACGTTAACAAATAAACATATCTATGAATATTATATATCTCCCCAAAAGAGGTGTGGCTTGTGAAACAGCTGTATTTACAAAATGCAACCTATATTACAATGCTAGATTAATTTATGGGACTCGTGAATTTTTATTATAGCAGAATATATATTACAATGAAAAATCAAATATATTACAATGAAAAATCAAATGCAATTTTTTGTATTACATTTATAACCTTATTGAATAATGCTACATAGCTTTACTCTTTGATTTTGTGTTATATGAAAAATCAAAATTAAGAAATTGGTTACAATTGCCTAAGTGAACAATAATGATAATTGAAACTTTTTGTTGTTTTCTTTGTAGTCGATTCCCCGTAAAGGACCTAGATGTAAAAACAATGCTCCCTCAGGGAGTTGGTTTGCCAGAGATAATGCAGCTAATTTCTTGTCTTGGTGTAATTCACATGGTATGAAACAGGAATCTATGTTTGAAACAGAATATCTAGGTAAACATGCTTACTCAATGTACAGTATATTCTGTTATATGATAGAAATCCCTTCTAAGCATAAAGCTATATTCCTTATGTTTTAAACATGTGACCATTTGAATTGGTTGTTTCTGGTTAGAGAGCAAAATAAAATATTGGAAACAATCTTAATTCGAGATTGAAAGGATTGAAGACTTTATTGAAAATTTTAGCTTCTAAAAATTTTGAAATAACAGTAAAGAGGTTAACATAATATCTCACAGCGTTAGCCTTGATTACTCAGTTTAAATTAAAAAAATTAGATTGTATATCATGCTTTAGAATAATAATATTAAACCATATTTTTCATTGAGTGAAACTTGTGGTATTTTGGTACATTAGTAACTGCGACCAAATATTGGTTGAATGTAATTTTCCACACCAGTGGACAAACTTTATAAAACTTTTATTTTCAAATCAAAATGATATTAAAATTAACATTTTATATTAAATAACAAAATCATTTTTATGATTATTTATTTTGTTTCATCACCTTGTAAGCTTTATAGAAGGCCTAATAGCTGATATATAAGAAGAGTTGTGTCTTCTTAGGTTTAGAAAAATGATAATTTGGAAGATTTTATAACATTTAGAAATGCAATTTACAATGAAAAATTATTTCAGCATGACCCCAAATGTGGTAAGATATTTGATGATAATGAAAGAGTGTACAGAATTATATAGGTTTACACATATCTGTATCTGTTTATGTTATACACCATGCAGTATTATTGTTGGAATGCACCAAGGTAGATTGGTTTATATACATGGTATTTATTTCTGATGCTTTGTGCTACTACTAGTTTTATAAAACATCATGATCAGCTGTGGTCAAGATCACTATTAATACTAATTTTTGATAAAAATTTTGATACTGATCATTACTCCAACATCAGTGGTAAATAATTTTTTGGAAATGTATTGTAAATGATTAAATGATTATTTTCATGTGTACATGTGTGTGTCTACAGAATGATATTGTTGCATTAAAGTAGCTCATTATTATAGGTTATAGCTGGTTTGTAGATGTGGCATGAATATAATGTCCCAGTAAAGTTTGACTGAATTGGGCATGCATGGAGCTTGTTGAAACAATATATAGAATATTGAGAGAAAATGTCATAGAGCTTGTTTTGGTTGTGAAAATGTAACACATTTTGTAAGGGTTATACAGGTTTAAAGTATTGTTTTGTGAATAGAAAGAAAACTAAAAGATAAAATTTGGAATAAAATTTGATAAGATAGCTCTTATGAAATGCTTTCAAAAAATAATAGTGGTTATCATAGATAAAATCACATAATGTTCTTCATATCAATGAAAATTCTTACAAATAAATTAAAAATTAAGTAATTTATTTCAGTTTCACAAACAGACCAGAAATCTGTGATTAACTGTTTATTAGAAGTAGCCAGACTTGGTTATAAGTTTGGACTGGAACCTCCTAATATCATCAAGATGGAAACAGAAATAGAGGAGGAAGAAGAGGAAGAGATACCAGTCAGTAAACCGGTAGAGATTGTCCGACCTTTGTCTAATAAGGGGCCTAACCTGGATGCTGAGGTATTGCTACTTAACAAGGGAAATAATGCTATATTGATTTAAGCTATTTAATCAAGGGAAGTAATTTTAATCAGGGGAGTTAATTCTCTGTTATGTTGTGTGCTATGGTTCACTCTTTGTTGTATGTTTATTATATCATTGCCTATCAGATTAACATAAATATGCAGTTTTATTTGAGATTCATAAAAGCATGGGATGATTTGTTTGTGTTGTGATTTTAACTTCAATTTATTTTAATTTTTTATTTATAGTTTTAATTGAGGAAAACACTTTTCAGATTACATGAACCTTTTTGGTTTATTTCATCTCATCCATAATTATTTGTCTATTATGTTTATAACATTGAAAATTCAAAGCTTGTTGAAATCTATAACATTAAACAAAGCATGTCAAATTTATCTTTTTTATTTAAAGTCACTGTAGATTTAGAACTTTTGCATTGTTTTTTTATCATTGTGAAAATAGCAACTGAACAGGTTTTCCAAAAATAAAAATTCCATATTTGTCCATGATTCAACATTGTCAATAATGAATACACTCAAAAATTTCTTAATTTTCAATACCCTATTAAGAATGTTTCAATATATTAAAAAGTTGAATTTACAGACTTAATACCTGTTTATCTGCAATACATCTCCAAAATGATGTACACATAAAATTTTCTCTATGAATTCATTGAAAAAATCAATGTTATTTTAGTCTAACATATAAGTATTCATCTTTTCCTTAAGTAAAATATCACATGTTATTTTCAGTTTGGAAAACTTACCATATCAACTTAAAAATTTGATTTCGATGTTCTTTCATAATTTTCGTCTCGCCTACGACGAAAGTCGCTTTCGTCGCAGTATGCAAGACTAAGGTATTACTATTCAGCGGTGGCGTAAACTATTTGTATAAAACTTTATATTTCAGAAGGTAGAAGACCTCGATGCTTCATTACCTTATGTTACGAAGTTTCTGTATGTCATATGTCCATTGTCCTTGACCTCATTTTCATGGTTCAGCGACTTCTTGAAAAAAAATTATAGTTTTTTTTGTCATGTGAATTTCTCACTTATTATGAGTAATAGGATAACTATATTTGAGATATGGGTTCCTTGCAATGGCTACATGTCCCCCAGACAGGATTCACCTGACCTCGACCTCATTTCATGGATCAGTGATCAAGGTTAAAGTTACATGATTAGGTCAGTTTCTCAAATACTATAAGCAGTAGGTCAACTATATGTGGTGTATGGAATGATTGTAATAGGTACATGTCAGTCTGGCAGGTTTCATTTGACCTTGATCTCATTTTCATGGTTCATTGGTCAATGTTAAGTTTTTGTGTTTTGGTCTGTTTTTCAAATACTTATAGTAATAGGTCAGCTATATTTAGTGTATGGAATAACTGTAAGGTGTACATGTCTGTGTGGCAGGTATATTGTGACCTTGACCTCATTTTCATGGTTCATTGGTCAACTTTTTGTGTTTTGGTCTGTTTTTCAATTACCATAAGCAATAGGTCAACTATATTTGGTGCTTAAAAAAATGTAAGTTGTATATGTCTGTCTGACAGGATTTATCTGATCTTGACCTCATTCTCATAGATCTTTAAAAATGTTAATTTTATGTGATACTTTTAGTAAAATCTTTAAGACTTTCAACATAAAATCAATGGTCAGTAAAGCTGGCGAGACATTTCACCAAGTGCACTCTTGTTATATATTGTCCTGAATAAGCATGAAATATTTGCCAATGTATGGGCTTTATGTACAATAGAACTTATCCTATCCAAAATTTTAAAAACCTTAAATTCAGGAATTTTGGGTGCCTTTATTATTGCAACTGTTGGACACAAATTAGGAGAAGGTTGTATTCTAAGCTTGGTCTATGTAAATTGTAGGTGTTACTGTTACAATTTGAGTTTACCCAGCTATGCAAGCTTAATATACAATATTTTTATCTCTAGTAAAATGCAACATTTTCTAAATTTTCCATTTTAAATACTTTTTTGGCTTGAATTTGTAATAAATAAACAGAACTGTGAATAATACTTTGCATGCACATCAGAATGATATACATTTTGATAAAAAGATTGATTCTAAGTAAAAAAGTGATGATTTGGAATATTTTCAAAGAAATTGCATACTTTAAACTTCTGGAATTCAAAATGGTTGCTTACCTTGGTTACAGACTGGTAGACCGTGGAATTTAACCCCTCAAATATATGTCATGGACCGAAAAAATCATTGTTACATGAAAATTGCATTTGAATGCAAGATTAATTATTGTAATTTTAGAAAAGGCTGCATATGAATAATGTTAGTGAAATTTAAGATGTGATTTTTTATTTTTGTGATCCACTTTTTGGTTACAATTCTTGAAATATTATTAACATTGCACTACTTTCTGACTTAACCTTAGTTGTCAGTTGCTGTAAGAATTCACAATTTATTCAGATACAAGTGTTTGACTTATTGAAAATGACCTTTAAAAAGAGAAAACGATACAAAAAAGATATAAATGTCTTACTTTCTAGTTTATCTTTTGTATCGTTGATGTTGCAATGTACTAAGAATTCACATCCATTTTATTTTCTTTGAGTTACTTTTAAGAGTAAACATGATATTGTATATTTTGCAGATTCAGCGCATTGCATTTAACTGTAAATGTCATCAGTATATAAAGAAGTTAGGAGATGGAAAATATGCTATCTTTGGCAAAGTTGTACATATCAGGGTAAGTTAACGATGAAAATCAACCACCAAACTTAGACATGGTATGGTCTAGCAAGCACAACGGCAACTGTTCAACAGTTATTCTCCACAAACATTTTTCTTTATTTTCATAAGGAGCACTTCTCAATCTTAACAGGAAGTATCCTAATGACTTTAAAAAAAAATATGAAGAACCTGTCTGCTAGGTTCTGTTTATTATTGACATTTAACTTCTAAACTTTGTAATTTGAACATTTCAGTGAAAAAGAAATGAGTGGATGATGAAATTAGTAACAAATTTGCTGTAACTGGCTATATATTGTAAAGTGTACTACACAGACAAATTTTGCTCACATGAATTTCACATGAATCTCAAGTGAAATTCATCAAAAATTTCATGTGAGATTTACCTCAAAAGAGCTTTTACATGAATTTCACGTGAAATTTTTCATGTGAATTTCACGTGAACTTCATAATAAAAAAATTGGTATTTTTCATGATTGTAATTAAATTTGAAAATTTAGATGATAACTTTAATTTTTAAAATTCACGTTAATTTCAAATAAAAAAAATCATGTGAGTTTCACGTATACGGTAAGCTTGTTTGAGGTGAAATTCACGTGAAATTCATGTGAGTGAAATTTCCCTGTTTAGATTACCTCTAAGATATTATCTGATCATTAATGATGATTCTTATTTTTAAATGTTTTTTGCGATGTAAAAAAGTCATTTCTAGAAAGCTGTATCACAATATTATTTAACATTTATTGTATTTCACTTCATGGTAAAAAGGCGGCAAAAAAAGTGAAATTTTCTTTGATTACTACTTACAACAACTAAAAACTTGTAGTTGACTATTTTTAACAAATCTTCTTTCTCATATAATCAGTAAGAAACTGATATGATCAATGTATGTAAAACTGGTTGAAAATATCATAGTGATTATGTTTTGAAAGAGACATAATGAAGAAATGAAGACAGCAGTTTCTTTCCATGATTTTATTGAAATTTGAAGTAAAGATTGATATTTGTCAATTTTAACAGACAATTTCACAACAGAATTATACTTATTACTCCAGATTTTCAAAATGGTTACTCTTTATATTTCAGTTTTTACAGAATCGTCATATCATGGTACGGATAGGTGGTGGATGGGATACACTAGAAAACTACCTGGAGCATCACATTCCAAAACAAGTGTTTGAACACCGTCGGGACATCCACGGAGAACCAAAAAATGATGCAAATAAATATTTGTACTTCAAGTCACAGTACAGATCTACATCAGTTTCATGATATTTTTAATTGTTAATGTTGTTTATATCATGTTAATGTTGTTTATTTACTATGCAATACATTTGTTTACTTGTTAATTAGACATTTGTGAATGTTAATGAGTTGTTAATTCAGAAATGTTTCTAGTAGTTCCTGTTATTAAGTTGAGGAACTCCAGGCCATACCATAATGATTTTTTGTTGTTTTTTTATTTTTACACAACAGTTATTTATAAACTTGATAGAAAAATACAACTTTTTAGCTAAATTAATAAAATTATAGAAGACTCCTGCAGGGCCTTTGAGTGTCAGAAAGTTATTATTTAAATACCTTAAAAAGACAGATTTGATCTTTGATATGAGTCTTGCATTACAATTTTTACAGTTGATTCAAAAATGTTCATGAAAAATATAAATCAGAAAGTTGCCTTAATACACAACCTCAAATTACAAAGATCTAAAACATTTTGGTGTGGCTTTAGTGAAATTTTCACGGGTGATTCAGGGTTGTAATTTTGCCTTCCGTCCTTATGATTCAATGCTTTATCCCATCATATCATTTATTTGCAAATATTCATCTTCATTTAGGACTTGTTTTTTAAAAACTTTTTTCTAAATTATCATAAAATTATTGCATGTTTTAGATAGAAAGTGTGATAAAATCTGCATAAATGTAAAGATTTATTTATTCTGTAAAGATAACAAAAAATTGCATTGAATAACATTTGTACTACAAATGTTTAAAGATACATGAACCAATATATGCAGTCCAGTGTGGCATGAATGGAATTATGATAAAAACCAAATTTAAGACTGCCTATCAGACTTTGGGATGGGAAAGGGGGATCATTTATTTTGGGTCTAAATTAGTTGTATTGACTATCAAAATAAAGGAATGTAAAAATATTTTTATGCCCCCGCCGTAGCGGTGGGGGCATTAAGTTTTACCCTTGTCCGTCTGTACGTACGTACGTACGTCCCAAAATTGGTTTCCGTTCTCTAACTTCCAGTTTGCCTCAACCAAATGTAATGAAACTTATACACAATGCTTACTGTAAATTCAGAAATTATTGCGTGCATTTATTTTGCGATTTTGTCATTTTTGACTAAAATGCGATTTAAATTTTTGCGATATTTAGAAAATTTCTATTTCATTCATATAAAAATAATCAAAATGCGAGTTCAAAATATTGCGATTATAACCCTGTTGCATTTTTCGCAATAATAAAAACATCGCAATAATTTCTGAATTTACAGTATTACCACAAAACACAGGTCAAGTTTGAATTTTTGTGGCGTCACTTTAACCGTTCTAGAGTTATGCCCCTTTATAAATGGAAAAATTGCAAAATTTTTATTTTCTTCTAAATATCAAGTAATTTTTAAAATTGGAGTTATCTTCCTTTGTCCATGATTATAGTTGAATCAACTACAATCAATGCTTTATACAATGCAATGTTTAATTTTGACTTCCACTGATAAAACACAGATCAAGTTGAATTTGGGTAGTGTCACTTTAACCATTATAGATTTATGCCCCTATATAATTCGAAAGATTGCAAAATTTTTAGTTTTCATTCTGTAACTTAAGTTTGCCCCAACCAAACATTATGAAACCTATACACAATATTCATTACCACAAAACTAAGATCAAGTACAAATTTTTTGTTACCGTTTTCTAACTTTAGTTTGCCTCAACCAAATGTTATGAAACTTATACACAATGCTTATTACTACATAATACAGATTAAGTATGAAATTTGGTGGCGACACTTTTACCATTCTTGAGTTATGTCCCTTTATAAACAAAAAAATTGCTGAATTTTTCGTTTCCTTTCTCTAACTTTAGTTTGTCTCAACCAAATGTTATAAAACTTATACACAACCGTTCTAGAGTTATGCGTGTTTACAAATAGAAAAATTGCTGAATTTTTAGTTTCTGTTCTCTACTTAAGTTAGCCTCAACCAAATGTTATGAGACTTACACCCAATGCTTATTACCTCAAAACTCAGATCAAGTTCAAATTTGGGTAGCATCACTTTTACTGTTCTTCAGTTATGTCCCTTTATAACTATATGATATGCAAGGGGGGGCATCATCTGTGTCCACATGTGGACACTATCCAAATTTATTATTTATATTTTTAATGAGACATTGCTAAGTTTTAACTATTAAACTGACAAAAAAATTAGTATTTTGTATATATAAAAAAAAATTTTCACTGAGAAATGAGCAGATTATAATTTTTGTTCTTAATTTTCCTAGTTTGATCTGAAATCGCTTCATATATGAAAATATATTATTCCTGAAAAGGGACCAATTTTTGACATATTGTTCTTCACAAGATTTTCTCAGGTTTTTTTTTAATTACTATGATATACCAGTTCATTCTACATATTAAATAATATTGTTGTTCAAACATACTATTTTGCACCATTTTGTAGACACTAGGAAAATAAAAAAACGTGTAGGGTATTTTTTAATTAAACCATGCTCTGCTGCAATTTAGTAAGAATATGATGAATGTTTTCTAGTTTTAAAGATGCTTAAAAAGGTTTTTTTAATTATTTTTATATTTCATTGATTTCATCATTTTCATGCAGTTAAGACTTTCAAACTGATCATCAGTATTATTGAATTGTGCCGTCCAAACTATATACCATTTTATATTTTGTTGATTTTGTTTTTGGTTTATATATATTCCTGCTGTAAATATGTTGTAAAGTTTTGTTTTGTTTTATTTGTTTTTGTCATGAAGGATTTACATATAGTATTTGTCAGTTGACATAAAATTACATAATATAGACTCAGTAGTCTGTAATTTAGGTAAGACAGTTAAAATTTGATGTGTTTTTTTTCCTCAGGTAGAAGTCTCATTAACATGTGCCCTTAATGTTATTTTATTCATATTATATCATATCATACAATGGACGTTCTTCCTAGAATGTCGGATATTTTTTATCAGGGTAAACCTCCTATATCTTGCCTGAGTAAATGACATACTTAATAACATTCTCTACAGCTGAAATGGATTATGCTTTTTCCACCCACCCACATTTGAATTTGGCAGATCTGTTTTGTCTAAACTGCTGTCTCCCCTCTCCCACCCAATATGAAGTGTACAAACTGTTTCATTGTTTTACAGTAAGACCAGAAAGAACAATCCATTTACGTAAGCAGATAAACATTTGTAATAAATATTTTTACAAAATAAGAGCTAAAACCTTGGGTAGATATTGGTGAGCTTTTGACAGGAGTGTTGGAGAAAGCAAAATTCTCATGCTTGAGGTGTAATGAATCATTTAAAACAGGGGTACCTTGCCATTTATGCAAATAACTGAAGCAAGCCTTAATTTATTGTTCTTTTTTCACATGTCTGTGTTGAAGCATAGCATAGCTAGTATGTAGATCTTTTAGATATCTTGTAATACCTACTAGAAAAGAGATTGTATGCAAGATAATTGCTCAATTTTATTTTTGCAAATAATCAATAGTGTTAAAAGAACATTCAAATACAGATAAAATCAGGGCAATATGAAATCAATTCTTCATTTATAGATACTAGAATTTTCTTTTTAACTTTTTATATTTTTCAGCCTGCCATATATATAAATCTTATGGGAGATGAAATCACCCACTTTATCCCTTCTATCAACATTGTTTTCAATATAGATAGTAGTTTAATGTTTTATCATAATTGACAAGTTATGGTATAACAATTGTTTGTTTACACAATTTTGAGTTGTTTAAGTTACATAGTCCATTTACGATTGAATTCATTTGAATGTTGCTTAGTAAAAAAATTTACTCATTAGTAATTAAACATCAAAAACACAATAAAATATCATTAAAAAACATCAAAAAGGTTCAGTACCATATTTTTTCTGTAGAAAATTTCTCTTAGAGGTGGATCTCTAACTGTAAGTTTAAAACATTTACACTTATGTTAAAAAAGTTTCATCAAATACATATCATTATTTATTTGTTAGAATCTGATTTTGAACAGAAATTATTGGAACACAGTTACGGTTTATATTTATAACCATAGGTTGTCTTTCTTGTGCATTGTTTTGTTATGATCAATAAAAATTTAGTTGTGTACATTTCTTGTTAAAGGGATATAACTGCCTTCTTGTTGAAATGTCACTGCCCTAGAGTAAAGAATGTTGATCTCATTTTTTTTTTAGAGAAAATGTCAGATGCGTTATGCATTTCATTATTGCTCAAATATTTTTTTAAATCGTTAATTTTGTTTCCATTTATAATACAATTGTAAATTTAATGACAATTCAACATGATACAAATTGGATTATCTCCCATATACCAGAAAAATCTCAATTGAAAAATATTTGAAACATTACAAATGCATTTTAGTATTTCGGATAGGTCTGATACCTAAGTAATGTATGATTAATCTTGAAAGTCCACATATCTCTGGTTTAAAGAATTAATTGATTTACACACTCAAATATATGTGCTTATATATTTATTCCACCCTAAATTTACTTTTATGCTTTATAATAATTGCTGTTTTAAAGAAAATATAAAAGGCAGAAAATAAAATCTTAAGAAAAGACGAACAGAAATAGTTTTGATCACTTTTTTGGTTAATTTTCAAATCTGCACTAGTACTTAGACATGTTAGATTTTGACTGTATTATCTTAGTTACAAATGGTGTAATAGTATTATGAAGCACTACTTTTATCCATATGAAACATATATATACATTTAATAATTTTAAAAAACTGCAGTCTTAACAAGGTGATATTGATACATGCCTAGTGAATTTTTGTATTGGATAGTAAGAAGAGTGAAATGCAGATAAAACAAAATGTCTATGTTGATATTTTCTAACTTTAGACAAAACTATTTTAAATTATTTCTAAGGTTGTGTAGGACTTAGTAATATCGTTAAAATTTGCATTAAAAAATCAGGTTAATACCTTACTATTTACATGGATATATAAGTAAACCACAACTGTTTATGTTAAAATATGGACTTAAAAGTCATAGAAGAAATTAGATTTTTTTTTAGAATAGAAACATTATACTAACACACAAGGTGCTTGTTTTAATCTCTGATTGTTTTGTTATTCAGTAGGCTTATCAATGGTTATTGAAAAAAACAGAAGAACTTAATCAGTTACCCATGTCATTTCTTTTCATTTGGAATGTCGCATTATGTTCACAAATATTTTTATGAACCAATTTTTCATCAGTTATTGGCATGTATCAAGATGTTTATTTGAGGCAAGTAATTTATGTATTAAAAATTAAATCTATATTTTTTCTCACTAGCTTGATATTGCTTTATAGTTTCTTTACTATTGCTTTTTTATGCCTTGCATACTATTTTGTTTGAGACTCAAAATCTCTTAATGCAAATGTTTGTATATATTTTAATTCAGCATTCCTATATTTGAATTGTGTCCCTGTTAAACATTTGTCATTTAAAGAGTAAAATATATTTTGAATTAAAAATGTTTAAATTTGCCAATTTTCTTTTCATTTTTGTATGTTGTACAATTGTACAACATATGGAACAAGCACTTTAACAATATGGTATTTGTTACTTCACCACACATTACATGGCATTAGGAGCAAAGGTTGGTTCACTTAGAGAGCAGTGCTGAATTTGGATTTTGTTTTGTTTTAGACTTTAATTTTATGACTTAGCACATTAAAACTAGCTCCACATTGATTCCAGAGCAGAAAATTCAAAATTCAATTAAAATTAAATTTGGAAAATACAACTTAGAGTATACAATCCCTGAGCTAACAAAGTATTTTCATTGAAAAAGAGCGTTTTTTGGGGTTTTTTTTTTTTAGGCGGGCGTTGTTAAATACTTTTTGAAAATAAAAGTTGGAACTCTGCCTTTTTTTTACCATGTTGACATTGTCAGTGAGTTCAGCATTTCAAATGTAGCCTTTGCAATTAGTTTGGAATTCTGAGTTGCTGTCAGAAATTAGCTACAAGTTGTCTAAATGTTCTTTCAACTTCAAAAATAGATTGGAATTGTGAT